AGCTGGAGGGATGGCCAAGCCTGAGGCATGCCTTTCAGGAGGGATGGCCGTACTGGAGGGATGGCCGTTGCTGGAGGGATGGCCGTGCTGGAGGGATGGCCGTACTGGAGGGATGGCCTTTCTGGAGGAATGCCATACTGGAGGGATGGCCTTTCTGGAGGAATGCCATACTGGAGGGATGGCCGTACTAGAGGGATGGCAGAGCCGCAGGCATGCCTTTCTGGAGGAATGCCGTACTGGAGGGATGGTCGAGCTGGAGGGATGGCCGTACTGGAGGGATGGCCGAGCCGGAGGCATGCCTTTCTGGAGGAATGCCGTACTGGAGGGATGGCCGTGCCGCAGAGGCGATGTCCGCCGCGCACCGGATGCGCGCCCGCGCGCGGCGCACCGGAAGTGAACCTCACAGGCTGAGCGGCTGCGGTCGTGTAGGTACTAAATGCTTCCATTATACTGTTGAGGACGTGTTTTCTCTTTCACGGTGTCGACGTAGATGAAGACAATGTGTGAAGAGAGCATGGCAAAAACTGTTCATCTCCATTGTTCATTTAAACAAGTACAAAAACTGATAAAACACTTCGAAACTTTCAAAAGACAGTATTTACATTCATTTCTAAATACATTCTTTATTGGTTTGAATATAATCGACATATTTTTGTATTGTACATATTTCATTGCGTGAAGATTGAAAGTATGTGATCGTATTTAGACATTTACATTTACGATGTATTTTCCAAATTTTAGTCTCGTAATTGAGAATTTCATGGTAATTTTATGAGATCTGAAAATGTTAGTAAATGCTTTGCTATCTGTGTTAAGATGTGAATGCAACATGGTAAAGTTTTTTAAATAATATATAATAAAAATAATAACGTAGAGATTTGGCAATTGAGCAGACACCTGAAGTCATAATAAACTACATAAGGCATTTTTCTTTTTCCGATCAAGAGAAACTTTATTACGTGTTTCTCATACCTAGATGTTGCATCGATGTTCTTAGAGTGAAGTTATTTTCAGTTTCTCTTACATCTCATAGTCTTTAATCAATGATATGTTTCCATTATTTTGTCTCCCAGGTAATACAACAGCACGCCACCTAAATACTACTCATCAGTTTTAAATATTTATTTAAACATATGATAACATAAATTGATTTGAGTAATTCTGGGGAATATAATTAGGACCTAGGCAAGAATATGAAGTGTCACAATTGAAACTTTTGCCCAACTTGTTGTATGACGTCTGAGGGAGAGATAAGCTCGCGAAGGGGTACTCTACACTTCGATTTTTCTTTAAGTGGCCGATGACATTAGGTCATTGTTACACCTTCTGCCTTATTAAATAAATCGTTTTAATTAATTCGCATATGTCTTTCTCAACGAGGCTCTTGGCCCCAGAAATATGCTTTTGGCACTTCACACTTATAAAGATTCACTTTATAAGGCAGGTGTAACAATGACAGAATGTCATCAATCACTGAAGAAAACTCGAAGTGTAGGCCAAGCATCGTCGCAAACGTCTTGAGCACAGTACCGCCTGGTAGGCATTGGAGCGGACTTCACAGTCGAGGCGTTTTACAGCAATCAGGGCCTGCGCTTTCTTACAATAAGAGAGGGCGGAGGAAGTCTGCAGGACACAAACAAGCGATCATTATCTTCCCACCTCTCCTTCTTTCACTCCTTTCTGTCTCATCAACCCTCTCTCCCTCTCATCTCTCTTGTTCAGACGTGTCTAAGACGGAGTGGCATTCAAGACACCATATCGCTTAGAAGTTGCACAATAATTTTCGATTATATTGAAACTATATCGCTATTTATATTTTTTTAATTGCATTTATTTCGGAAGTTAAATATTGTTTTTTCTCGCGATATTCTTTCCATTTTCTATTCGGAGAGGCGTATATTCGAAAAAGACTACAGTGAATGTGTCTTGAGTAGTGTTCAAGATTTACATTCGCTTTCCGCTGGTCACAAATGAAGGTGATTTTTTTTCTTTCTTTCTTTTTTTTTTCTTTTCCAGCGAGATCTCGCTTCGTTTGAGTTGACCTCCGACTCCTCGAAACTACTGCTCGGAGAAAGTGGCGAACATTAGAGCTGACATTTGAGCGCTGTTGTATAACGCGCGCAGCATATAACTAGCGAGTCGCCGCCGCCGCTAACAACAAGCTCTCAACTCGCGAAAACGCGGGTGCCGGAGTCGAGTGCGCGTGCGCGGGAGGAGATGACAAATGAACGCAGAAGCAGCGACTCTCGCGAGTTACGAAGCAGATTTCCTCGCGTCATTTGTCCCGCGGACTCTGCCACCCTGCGGCCCACCCACCCTGCGGCGGCGATGTGGTAACGCTTAGCGTATCGGACTGTTATACCCAAGTTGGCGGGTTCAAACCCGATCGAAGGAGGGAAGTAAAGCCGGCTGTCCTATGTTAGTGTATTTACTATATGTGAAAGATCCTCAAGCCTAAATGACGCTTCTGAGCTAAATTCAAACCGCTTGTTTCTCGCCCAAGATATACCTTCTTTCTCCACTAGTTGGTGAAAGGAGCGTAGCGAAATTTGCGTGATCAGACGGAAGAGCGGGCCTAATGGCCTGAGTCTCGACACGTAATATAAGACGTCACTTCACCCAGCGGCTGGGCCTCGGCAGTGGACATGGGAGCCCGTGAAGGTTGACCGGCTGCGGAGTGGAGGAGGACCCTGCAGGCGAAAATATGATGGATTGTCACGTCCAGGAATAACCGAAACAAAACGCTGTCTACAGTCGCAGACAAATGAAGCATCATTAAATACATGCTGCTTTGCGTCTCCTGAGCTGTTGCACGATTCTTTTGCCCCAAGAAGTTGGAAAGAAACATGGTAAAGTGAGGTGGTGCGACATATGGCAGACACTACGAGAAAATCGACGAAGTAAAAGAGTCTAAAGCCGAAGAGGAATGGAAAAATATGAACCGTTGAGGTGAAAGGAAATAAGTGTATCGCAGTTGAGAATTCCGAAAGCTGAGTGGCTTTGAATGACCGAACGGACACTCGCTGGAAGGTAACCAAGAGGAGAAGGGGTGGCGCTGCCCCATTTGGCGTTCGGCTCTCTCAGTCGGAACCACCCCACCCCTTCCTCCTCCTCCTCCCTTCTCCTCCTCCACCACTCCTCCTGCACCGCGGCCGCCGCCATTACGCCCCTGCTTATCAGCGTGGAAGCCGTTAATGACTTCCGATGCTGGAAGGTTTTCAATTGCAGTGTATTGTAGGTATACATGCCGTGCTCTGACAGATTGCATAGAAATTACACAAGATCACGCAAACCAATTGTTAGCATTAGTAAACCGACCGAATGGGCCCGGCTTCCCATTGGCCGCTCCCAGCTGGCATCCGCCTGCAGTGCGTGTTCACGTCGCGAGAGGGCGGTGTGCCGCGCGAGACGAGAGGTGGGCGGTCCGCCGCCGCCGCCGCCAAGAAATCCTCGACACTTGAAGAAATGGACGCGCACGCAACTGCGTTTCCTACTTCCTGCGCAGCTTCCTCCTCCGCTCAAATTATTTCTAATAACGAGTATATGTGCAATGTGTGAATAACTATATATAATAGTCTGGAATTATTTGTATGTGAAATGGGTAATATAGAAAAAGTATCTGTGAATTGAATGGAATGCAATTCTTAATTGACGCAAACGTTCGTAATTAGTCTGCATTATATTTATTAAATATGTAAAACGTTATTACCTATTTATTTAAATATTTCAAACAAAAAATGCGAAAGGTAAATGAATGCGAGGCGAGGCGAGGTGAGGCAAAACGGGACGAGACGGGGTGGGGCAAGGCCAGACAGGGGCGAGGCCGGACAGGGGCGAGGCCGGACAGGGGCGAGGCGGGGGCCAGACAGGGGCGAGGCGGGGGCCAGACAGGGGCGAGGCGGGGGCCAGACAGCGGCGAAGGCGGGCGGCCAGACAGGGCGAGGCGGAATGGGGCCAGACAAGGGGCCGAGGCGGGGGCCAAGACAGGGCGAGGCGCGGGGCCAGACAGGGCGGGGCGCGGGGCCAGACAGGGGCGAGGCCGGCCAGACAGGGGGCGAGGCGGGGCCAGACAGGTGTGAGCGGGGGCCAGACAGGGGCGGGACGCGGGGGCTAGACAGGGGCGGGACGGGGCCAGACAGGGGCGGGACGGGCCAGACAGGGGCGGGACGGGGGCCAGAACATGGCAGACGGGCAGACAGGGGCGACGGGCCAGACAGCGGGCGAGGTAGGGCCAGGCGGCAGAGAGACGCGGGGCCAGGCGGGGCGTCGGGGTGGTCGGGGCGCGACCCCGGTGCGTGGCCTGCGGTCGTACAAGTGGCCACTTTGCGCGCTGTAGCGTGACGCCGCCCTCCCCTCGCGCCCTAGGGTGCTGTCTCTCCCCCGCGCCCTCCGCCTGCGCCTAGGCCAACGCGGCGTTGTCAAATGGCTTGCATTAGCCCTCTGCGATAGACATTCTTTCACCAGAATCTTTCTATTGCGTCTTTATTAAGGCATATTAGCAATAAACCTCGAAATTGTTTACAGAATATTTATATTCCTTAATGACAGTGACTATTCTCTATTTATGTAGTGTTATTTCCTGACTACAAGGCATATCGACTGAAACCCATCTTAACTTCACATGGATTTTTATTTCCCTTTGACATAAAATTGTTAGAAAAGAAAGAAATATTGAAATATGTATATCAATTTTTACTCGTATTAAGTCACTGAATCTCTAACTTTTTTTTTTTTGCGCTCTACTTAAATATCCCTAGAACGTGATTCTTAATTGAACGACCTCCTTCGAACGCATTAACGTGAACTGTGCATTTTTTTCCCTCCAGTTCGGTCGTTGTTCTCGTCGCTGTGTCTAACCTCATCTACACGACCGGAGCACCGTGTGATTTGTAAATGCGAGGGCACCTTGTCATTATTTCGCGTTTAGCAGCCTATCTCGGGCGATCTGCGCGCGGCGTCGCGTTGCCAGCGCCCCCAACGGCCGCGTTCGGCGCCGCCGCACGGTGGGCGCGAACCCCCCTGAAGGGGGCACAAACTCGAAATTCAAAGTCCAATTAAATTTTTTCGTTTATTTGCATAAAATGAAAAAATCAAAAAAAATATTCACGATATCTTTTAAGGAGCTGATTTTTTTAGTACAGTCTGGGTTTAAGGAAATAATCGCTATTCCAATTTTTGTATTTTTTTGTAGTTTTGAAATGTTAACTTCTTGCAATTTTCGGAAATGCGGAGGGTGTGCCGAGGGTGGGACAAGCTCCATATTTTTTGCCATTCATTGAGCATGTGGGGGGAAATTTTGAGGAGGGAGTATGCCGCGGTTTTTGTTGTTTTGTTTGAGTTGATTGTTTTAAAAAAAATATTTTTAAAAATTCAAATTGCCCCTGATTTGCACAAAATTGCACGATAGCTGCTCGTGTATTTTTATAGAGAACAATGCAGAAGTATTTTTTTCACGATTGTCATGATGATTATAAATATTTCTTAAGCGTTGAAGATTTATTAAGCACTGTTCCGTTGACGTTAAGACGCAGTAGAATTGGATACAATTTCAGGGAATAGACAACCAAAGTAATTATTTGTATGCTACAGTTTTAGTGATATCTATGTCCTCGAAGTTAAATCTTTTTATTTACCAATTCTAACGAAATGGGCTATCTGACGACCAAAAGGGTACTTAATAACGTTTATTTCCCACAAAGTGCATTTGCTGCTACATTTCTGTACGGACTGCTGAATAATATGTAACAAGATTCGTAGACTGCCATGTTTCGATATTATCTAAAGAGTTTAATTTGATTCCACAGATTTCGCGCTGTGCAATTTCACAGATTTTTGATTAATTTTGTGTTGTTAAAATAAAAAATTCAATATCTTTTTAATGGCATATTCCATTTATTTTTATGTACATACCTCACACCACATTAGCACCCTTTTATTTACGGACATTTTTGACTATCCGAGGGCCGCGTCCTAGGCACAGGTGCCAACGTTTCGCGACCTTCCTGAGAGCGAAATGCGTTCACTCGTTCTCAAATATTGCCCTGAGGACGGCCACCTGTGCCCGTGACGCGGCGTCTCCCGGTCAGCCACGTAGATGCTGACTCCTACCGCGGAAACCTACGTTCCCACACGTTAACGTTTTTTGTTTGTTTTTTTTACGAAAAAATCACATTAATTTCCGAATATCCGCTGAGCGAGTGTTGATCGCAGACCACTGTACGGCGTCCCCACCTCGCGCCGGCGCGGCGAGGCGTGGCGTCTTCAAGTGAAACCGCTTGCGTCGCTAAAGAGATCCGCAATTAGATGGTTATGGCGGCGCGTCACGGGGGACGGCGCTGTTTGGAGTGCGCCGGATAATTTTCCGGCGGGTGACGCAGCGCGGCCCCCTTCCACGGCCCCCGTCACCACGTCGCATCGGCTGGCCTTTCCTTCGTCCACGTCCCGTTGTAAATACTCCGCAGACAAAGGGTATGTTCAAGTTGAACATGTTAAGCAATGCTTCTTGTTGTTTTAATCGAATGGTAATAATATGTCTATTAGAGTTTTGGTTCGATACCAAATATATTTGAAGCGTCGTTTTCAGAAAATCGAATGATTGACAAAATCAAAATTATGATGATTTATAGGTGTTGTGGTGCGTTATCGTTGGCATTTTTCATGAAATAATTATAAACGTTGTCATTGCCAACAATAGTATTTAATATAAGAGCAGCTGTCGATGGCTTAGCCATCAAAAGCTGCTCTTATATTAAATACTATTGTTGGAAATGACAACGTTTATAATTATTTTATGATGATTTAGCTTAGCAAAAGGTTGACTCATATGTAGAACCCATTCAAATATGAAATCCTTCGTTTCCCCTACCAGTGAAAACTGAGGAAGACGTTTTTGGAATGAATCTAACAATCAGAGATATCAATGAAAAAAATGCGTTAATGAGTTGGTTGATATTTCATTCATCATTTGAAGGGCGTGGCTGTGGATAATCCTCTACGACATCGAGTTCGTCCGGAGAAATAAAACGATAAATTTTCAATCTGCCATTTCTGGCCTCTGAGCAAGAATACAAATTCATAGTACATCGTAATTTGTTACACCGGCATCCCAAGACTTATACAAAAAGTTATCTTCATTTTGTCGGCAATCTGGCCATGGACAGAAGCAGAAGGTGTCTAAGAAAGAGGGGGAGGGCAATTACTTGTTTTTTATTTTGACAAAGAACCACATTTTTAGGTTCATATTTTCAGATGTACATTTATAAATAGAATAGTTAAATACTTGTTTTTATTTTTTGACTTACCGAATCTAATATCATTTCAGGAAGGAATGAAATATCTTAATGCAAATGCATTAATGCAAGTCCTATTAGGGACCTGTGGCTTCTAAGAAGAATTTCAACCGCTTAATACCTTCGTTCTTCTCTCAAAGTTATGTCAGAATGATAAATTTTTGAGTATTTTAATTTCTTCCTAAAGTCGAAGTAAATCATAAAACATAAAATCCACACTACAAAAACCAACTTGATGGGGAGAGGGTATGGCTTCCACGTCCCCCCTCCCAACCCACGGCCCCGTCCTTGAATGTGGCATATAATTATACCGAACCCGTTTCTTCATTTGTTCAGCACGAGACATTGCTTCGTCATTTGTCTGTCCTACACGCGCATCCACGCCTTCGATTACGTGCAGCCAGCGCGTTCGCCGTCGCGTCTGTTGCATTGCCCGTGGCCTCCTCCTACCTCTTCCACCCTCTTTCCCCCCTCCCCCTCTACTCAACCCATGGATCCGCCTTTAAATGTGGCATACAACAATACGGAACCGAGTTTTTCATTTGTTCAGAACGAGACATTGCTTCGTCATTTGTCTTTCCTACACGCGCATCCACGCCTTCAATTACGTGCAGCTAGCGCGTTCGCTGCGTTGCCCGCGGCCGCCTCCTACCTCTTCCACCCTCTTTCCCCCCTCTCCCTCCACCCCTCCCCATCTACCCTGCCACCCTACCAAACCATGGATCGTCCAAAATGTGTGAATATAACAACAGGAACCGAGTTCATTTTGTTCAGCCACGAGACATTGCCTTCTTCATTTGTCTGTCCTACACGGCCGCATCCACGCCTTCGATACGTGCAGCCCAGCCGTTCGCCGTCGCGTCTGTTCCACTGCCCGCTGGCCGCCTTCCCTTACCTCTTCCAACCCTCTTCTTCCCCCCCCCCCCCCCGTTTGCGCCTGGCGGCGCGCGGAAATGTCTCTGCGCGGCGCACTCGTCGTTTTTGGTGAGCGCGCCCGCGGGAACAAAACACGGTCTCGTGTAGGGAAGCGTTTTGCTGCGGTGAGCTCGAGAACGACTGTCGATTTTCCCGTCGCTTTGCATGAAAATTGAGAGCCGTGTTGGCTGCGCCGTGAGTAAGCCCTCGTGGCAATTTCGCTGGCTGTCCTGCATGAAAGATTTTTTTTTTCGTTTTGTTGTTTGTTCCTCGTATTTTTGTTTCTTTCGAAGTTTCAGTTGTATTTCGTGAGATGTAGCTAAATAAGTGTACGCTGGAGAGACGACATATATTCTAACTATCTGCTATTAGTTTAAATTCTGCGTTCTACGGCAAGCTGTCTTTAATACAAGTACGAATTACCGCCCTGGATAGCCGAGGTCGCTATGGCGCGCTAGCTGAGAGCAGCTAGCAACTAAACGTCGTTAACGCCTCGTGTCTGAAGGGTCGCAGGTTTGAATCCCGCCCGGGGAATGGATGTTTGTCCGCACATCAAAACGTTACCCCTCCCCCAATGTTACATAAAGTGGTCGAGGTATGACCTTAGAAGTCGAGAAGCGACTTTGAATAAGTAAAAAAGTACAAATCGTTTACGACTTGTTCGTTACTAAACATGTATTTAACATGTCTCTATGTAATACATAATCATGTAACTTTAGAAAGCAATTTATGTATGTTCATGAGAATTTAAGTAGAATTTTTGATTCCTGACATGTTAACATTTAATAAAATAATTTTTAAAAAACGAGAAAAAATACTTTTCAAAACTTCTTTTATCTTTCTCGACAAATATTCATTTCTTTTGTAAATAGTAAGTAATTTACGTTTCTGGACTGTTTACATGCTTCAGAAATGCCAATTTCTGCCTCGAAACCATTTTTCCAAACCAACTTTCGAGTGATTATTGCGACAGCCATTTGGAAAATACAAGTAGTTTATTAGGCAAAATATGCTTAAACTTTACCTATGAGATTATTTTCGAATTTTCCTTTACAACATCCTTTATTACATTACCGTTCCCCTATTACATTACAAAGCAATTTATGAAGGTTCATGTGAATGTAAGTAGATTTTTGATTCATAACACGTTCACATTGAAATGATACAAACAATAATCGAAATCGAAGGTGGAACAACGGGAGTGTACTAATTAAAACGTGAGCCTGCTGAAACAGCCGAGTGAAATGCGCTCACCTGCGGTTCTGGTACCAGGTCTTGACCTGCGTGTCGGTGAGGCTGAGCTTGGCCGCCAGCTCCATGCGGTCCTGCACGCTCAGGTACTTCTGGCGCTCGAAGCTCTTCTCGAGCGTCTGCAGCTGGTGGTCGGTGAACGCCGTGCGCGCCTTGCGCTGCTTCTTTGTCATGGAGGAGCTGCTGCCGTGGCCGCCGCCGCCGCCCTTGCCGCCGCCCTCCTCGTCCTTGTGCCCTGCGCACACACACACACACACGTCATGCCACCGTCAGTCCTCACTCACACAGTCAACAGACAGTGGGCAAGATTATCGTTCAGAAACAGCAACACATTATAAAACGGTAGGGTGCACTTTGGGACGTGTGGGACGCACAAGAAAACGGGCAAAGTAAGACTTTTTTAACATTGAGACTCTACTTGTGATTCATGCAAATAATGATTTGCAGTGCACTGAAAATTATTCACATGAACTTCGTCTTTTAGATAGGCTATTTATGTCCTGATGTCATGCGTTATACATTCATTGACTTTTCAACTTTTTTTCTTGGTGGAAGTAATTTGATTTTTATGGGTTGCGGTCAGAAATGCCTCCAAACAAATTCCACGTTACACATACTAAAAAAAAGAAAGTTCTAAAGAGTGCACACTTCCGATTTATAATGTGTAGCTGTTTCTGAACGATAATTTGTCTCTTATGAGTTGATAGCTCTGTTTCAAATATTCTGGTATCAGACACCTATACTACGAAGACATGCTAGAATCTATTTCTGGAATTATTATTATTATTGTTATTATTATTATTATTATTATTATTATTGTTGTTGTTGTTGTTGTTATTATTAAAATTTATTTGTTATTTAGTGCAATATAGTAAATAAAGCAAATAAATAGTATCATTTTTCTCAATTAATGATTCCAAATAACATGAGTGCATGAAATACTTGAAAACTGTTGAGTAAAACGTGGGGTCAAATCTGCCCCTAAACAGAATCCACGTAAGGAATGAAGAAACAATCGAATGGTTACAGTTGTGAATTGTAGACTGAAAATTAGTAGCTTTTCTGACTGAGTCATGTTATAAAAAACGTGAGACAGCCATGAGTAACAGAGACAGGTTCAAACCAACTTTATGTGGATGATAAGCATACAGACAATTAAATCGCTTAATTTGTAAGAAACTTCCATTTTAACTTAAAATGGTAATTTAAAGCGGTTATTAAAATTAACAACGAAGAAATATACAAAAGGCGACACCTGTCTTGCAGTGTATAAGAAAAGAATTGATGTCTAGATACTAACAGGAAGAACGAGTATGGACTGGCACAAACCAAGAATTCGTTGACACAATCCCATTGACTAAACGACCTTGACTGATTGTAATATTGTTATATGTCTCTATTCTGTTTTAAAATATTGAAACAAATTCTCAGAGACAATATTTATTCTATTGAAATTTACATGTTAAACAACGTTTCGAATACTCATATTTTTTTATTCTTCAGCTTTCCGATATAGAATAAATATTGTCAGAGAGAATTAGTTTCAATAGTTTACAGTTGATTGATTGTTAGTGATTCCGGGCGCGTCAATTGCAAAGGTGATTAGTCATAAGAGATTTTCCTTCTTTTCTTTCGGGAGGTATCGGTGATCATCCTCTGGATAGTGAGATCCAGCGCTTACGTACTGTCGGTTACGGTTTTCCCCAGCCATGTATCTCCCACCTGCGGAAAAGTGCACGTTGGTGTAAGTCTAAGTACGGGTGAGGATAGGACAAGGAAGAGGAAGGAAAGATCTTGCGCGGTGCGTGGCCCGTTTAATTGGGTACTGCTCCGGCGTTCCCCTGATGTTCATCGGAGAAACCACGGAATACTACCGATCAGAGCAGCCGGCCGCTAGAAGTCTCCTCCAGACGGAAACTAAATTCGACCACTGTATCTAGCTATTGTCGCAAATCGCACCACCGTCCGGATTCGAACCCAGGACCACCCAGTCAGAAGCAATGCAGTGATATCAGTTGATGCCCTGAGTCACCTCTCTCACTAAACAGTTAAGCTGCTAAGAGGGATGCTTTTCTTAGTAACTAACTAAAACCAACTTAATTTTAACTTAATCTCGTTGTGCACTTAATTCGGATGCGATTTGGCTTAACTATCGTTAAACAATATTTTTCTTCGTACTTGTAAGTATTCTTTGCTTCTTGGTAACTTTTTATACACATATATTTATTTCATGCAACATTTCTTTTTGTTTCATTACATCGACAGATCATAGATATCGCAGACTCCATTTCGCGCCCAGTAAGAGCCCAAGCCGCAGGCATGAAACGTCAGCGGGGGGCGCCGTGCGCTGACAGTGCGCGGTGGGGTGCGGGGAGGGCGCGTGCGCGCGGTCATTTGGTCTCGCGCCACCGCGTGCGTCTTCGAGGGGAGGCGCGGGCGAGGGGGGGGGGGCGCAACGCGCCAGGCTCCGTGAGCATGCGCTCTGCATCGCCACCCCCGCCCCCCGCCTCTGCAACCTTCGCCGGCCGCCCCGCCCCCGCCGCTGCGTCGTCGCAAAGTTGGTCGCGGAGTTGTTCGTCGTCGTTCCGTCGTCGGCGGCGGCGGCGGCAGCAGAAAGTTTCCGCCCCGCGGCGATGCAAGAGTGCGCGAAGCGGCTTCGCACAGCGCCTCCCGCGCTTGATACGAGTAATCAGATTTCTTGCGAGGCTGAGTGCGGCGGCGGCGGCCCGGCGGCGCTTGTCAGGGCCGAGTTTACCCGCAGCGCCTTCGCCCGGACAATAACTGCGGGCAACAGCGCCGCTTTGCGCGCGGCGGGCTCGGCCCCGCCCCGCCCCGCCCCCGCTCGCCCTTCGCCCCCGCGCCAGCCCCTCTTTCGTATTCGGGCGTTGGCGTGGAGCTCCATGGAGCTTCGCAAAGGAGTTTTTCGGAAAGAAAGTGTGCGTGCGTACGCTCACGTCTCTCGGAGAAAGAGCTGCTGCGATTGGTGGAAAACGCAATTTAAGGCCGTCTCCGCCTCGCCCCCGGCCTCGCCCCCGCCCCGCAGGCGTGCCGGGTCGGGTTGCGCCCTGACACGTGAAGTTAGTCCCGCCGCCCCCGAGGACCTGCGGCCCGCGACCCCCGGCCCGACCCCCGGCCCGGGGCGCGCCCTGGCGCCCGGTCACGATATGTATGAAGTTGTCATAGAAACGATTTGCTCCCTGCGGTCGGCTCGTGCCCGGAATACTTGTGAGGCCGCCGCCGACGCCGACGCCGCTGCCGCTTTCCTGCGCTGAGCGACAATGAGCGCGCGGGCGAGGCGACAGGGCAGCGGAGGAGTTTGGAACTACGGATGCGACACTGACAACAAAACATCGATGTTTCAAATTTCATAAATCGACGATCAAAATATTTGTGAAAATTATTGTACTAATTATTATATTTTTGAATTCAAAAATAAAATATCAATCAAGAAAAAACCTTGAACTCGGAACTTCGATATGAAAAAATTTCGGATTCAATAAATCGATGTTGAAAACGTCGATGTGTGTATAATTATATCGATGTTTTGAAAATATGGTCATCAATATCGCATTTCTATTCGGAACGCGAGAGAACAAAGCCTGATTTTCACGATTACCGCATTTAAAACAACGGTTTTGGTCCTCACGGGATTTTTAATCTCAGTGGAGCAGAAAAAAGAGATAGTGTCTATAAGCGTGCTAATACGTGAACTAATTATATGCAGTGAAATAAAATGGCAGTGCAGCGAAAGAAAATGAAAGTTAACTCTCCTATGCTTCCGGACGCTGTTTCTTAGTATTACCAAATATCATAATTTTGGAAATTCTTTTTACGCCCAAACTGTTAATGCAAAGAAATAACCCATCAGTTGATTACCTCGATACGCGTTTACTATGATAATGATTTTGTCGTTAACATGAAAACGTTTCGCAACCTATTGATTTGACCTCCTTGGACGTTTTAATAGAAATTGACAAATCTTTCGGAAAACTGTGCCATTTGCAAATATCGCATACATGTCGCGTGACATCGAAGTCTATGTGAGCTTTGCATGTCCTGTGGCTAGACAGACCTACTTGAACATGCACGACTGCTGCAGAATGGTATTTCGTGCTAAATCGGTGTCATGGATTCTAGTGCAGTGTGTGTTGCTACATTTCTTTCCTTCACGGGAAGACGAATTCCCAGTCGCTTCCGTTTAAATGAAGAACAACTCTACATGATACTATCGATTAAAGGACATTGATCTATCAATGAAGAAAGGAATGCTATTTACGGTAATACTAGGAAGTAAATAGTCCCAAATCAATTATTCAGAGTTTGTTGAATGTAATACTCTGGGAAATAAGCACAGATCAGTGTGTATTTTGTGGCAATGTCGCTACATCTTCAATAACAAAATGCTGTTCGTATTCTAAGCACTACATGGCGTGACAAAATCAGTTCAGGGATCTACATAATGCATGACGCGTGCCCGAAGGTGGCAAACTCCGAAATTGGGAGTGAAGCCTTTTGCCCCAAGGCGAGCAGTCAATGTGTAAATTATTGAAACGCATGTTTTCCTCTCATTCCGAATTTAGTTGCAACCTTTCAGAGTCGAGAGTACCGATTCAGGACAGGGCAAGCGGGCTATCGCTAGAGCATGGGGAGAGGGGCGAGGTAACCCATTTTGTACAGGGAAAGGTGGAGAGCGGTAGAGAGGGAAGGTGGGAAGGAAAAAGGGGTCATTTTAATCAAATAAGGAAGTCGGTGCAAACGGGATAGCAAATTACCATTAAAAGAAGAAGAATATGGAGGAAATGCGAACAAATAGATAAAGAATCGTTACTAATGTAGGAATTAAAATTATATCATGATTGTTCATTGGAACATGAACTTGATACTGGGAGTGGTAACTCAGGGCATCAACTGATGGCACTGCAGTGCCTCTGACAGGGAGATCCTATGTCCTATTTCCGTCGGTGACAGAATTTTCGTCATCATACCAGGCGAATGCCGGAGTAGTACCATAACAAACGAGCCTCGGACCGCGCGCGATATTTCCTTCCTCTTCTTTCTCTTAGCCTCAATCCTTAGTTACACACACACAAAATGCAATACCACACATACCGGGAGACCTGTCGGAAGCTTAAAGCTTGTCCCGTCTGAAGCGGCGACCCGCCCATGGGAGATACTTGGTCGGGGAAACCCCTTACTAGCCGACCGAAGGTCAGGGCCGGGTCTTACCATCTACCGGGGAAGATCCCCGCCTCCTCCCGCGATAAAAACATGCACTACACATACGGGACTAACGACCTTAGCAGTTGACGCGCTCGAAATCACCGAACTTGGCACGATGGCACTAAAATAGAGAGTAGAAACTTATAACAGATGTGGCCGAGTGGAAGAAAAAAAAAAGAGTCGGCGACGCTGCGAACGCAGAGCCAACGACGTCTGCAGGAAAAGCGACTCCTCCGGGAGGGCGAAGCTCTCTCGAGGGAGCGACAGCGATCCATTTCCGCCGACTGCGACGGATGCTAGTCGAAAGGCAGACGCGAACCCGGGCGAAGGCAGAGGGCGAAGGAAGAAGGGCAGAACAATCCCACGGGAGGAGCACGCGCGCTCCGCGAGCACTTAGTTGCCCGCCGCCGCCGCCGCCGCCGCGCCACCGTCGCCAGCGGCAGATTTGATTTGCGCCGACCCGCCCGCCCTTTTCGCGATACTTTTCCGCCGCTCCCGAGCTCCCGTAATAGAAAGCGCCTCCCGCGCGCTTTTAGGGCGGTCAAAGCCCCCGCGGCGCGTCTGGCAGTTGGGCGGCCCCGCGCCGGAGCACGGAGGGCGACGGGCGCCGTTTGATGTGTGCGGTGCCGCGCGCCCTGCGCTCTGAGTGAGTGCCTGCGGTGGCTGGGTGGCCGCACGCGCGAGGTAGCCATCGCGCTGGCCTTTTTCTTTCCTTTTTTTTTTTTGTTATTAAACAATTGGCTTGAATTAGCGTTTTAGAATAACAAGAAATGTAACTAATTTAATTACTTTCTAAATTCGTATTAGCTATAACATGTGCGAGATTTCGACACTAGCTTGTCAGCTAGGTCAAATTCAGTCGAAGTACAACGGAACACCGGTCGCTTACCACGCCTCGCCGGCCCTCGTGTGCTCTTCTCACGTTCTTCATTCACAGTTCTTTTCACCGGTCGAATTCAGTCGCTGTCTGGAGGAGAATTCTAGCGGCCGGCTTCTCTGGTCGGTAGTTTTCTGTGGTTTCTCCGATCAACACCAGGCGAATGCCGGAGTAGTACCCTAACAAACGGGACAGCCCACGCGCGATCTTTCCTGCCTCTTCCTTGTCCTATCCTCACGCGCCTTACTTACCAACAT